TGAGGAAAATTGCTTCTTTTTCTATTACACAGGAGCTCTGGTGCTATAGTGCCTAAGGCATCTGACTGCTAACAAGAAGGTTGGCAGTTCAAACACACCAGCCACTCCTCAAAAGGAACATTGGGCAATCTACATCCATAATGATACCACCTTGGAAACCCAAGGAGGGGTCACTATGAGTCAGATCAGATGAATAGCTCATAAGCTGATAATACAATGTGCTACTACCTGATGCATACTCCAAATAAATGGAGCACTTAGTTGTTAATAGGTAAACCGAGGGTACTTTTCTGTCTTCTGATGGAAAAAATCAAAATTTTTGCACAAAGAGAACAGTAAACTATAAAAGTAAATACAAACACAGGTAGCAAAGTGGTAGAGAAGCAAGAGAGGATGTATGGTGCAGGGAGAACTGGAACTTGAACAAAAAATGATTTTTGTGATAAATTATAATGTGAATTGATATAATGCATAAAAAATAGATATTTTTTTTTCAGTAGGAAACTTCAGAAACCATCCCATCCCCCCATATTTTTTAAATGAACAATTGACAATAGAAAATATAAGATATTTGTCCAAAATAATATAGCTAGTAAGTGACAATCTCAGTACTGGAACATATGATTTGAAAAGTCATACTGTAAGACCTTAACTAACATCAGGCTGGGAGCAGTGTCTAGCTAATAAGGACTTCCAGACTGAGAGAAATGCATTCACTCAATAAGTTTTAAGAATCTTGCTGTGTGAGGTATACTGCAAACCTGGAAGAAAAAGGAATATGAGATAAACTCCCTATCAAGGCTCACAGCCTGGTGGGGAGATGAAGCAGACAGAAGGGTAAGTTGCAACAGGTTTGGTTTCAGCCTGTCACAGAGACATGAATGACGTACTGTGGGGGCTTTGAAAAACAATTGAATATTTGGAGGAAAGGGGAGAAAAGTGGTACTGAGTTGTAACATCTGAATGAGATCTTGAAATATCAGTAGTAATATTTCCAGAATCAGGAACAAGACTACCGTACATGAAAGGATCTGTTGTAGAAATAAACAGGACAAAAATGTTTGGCTAGGGCCCAATTTGCTAGAAAGGAGTGGTGAGAGATGAGACTAGAGAAGTGGTTGATCCCAAATGAAGCTCTTCTGTTCTTATAAGCCGTGTTAGTAAGATTGGGCTTTCTGCTGGGGCAAGGTGGGCCAATTAAGGTTGGTAATGAAGGAGGAACCTAAGAACTCACTAATAATTACCTTCAAAATTGTTTCAGAATAGATTATGTAGCTACATATTGAGAGATTATGTTGTTTCTATGGGGTGTAGACTGACAGAGTGACCAATTGTCCTGGTTTGCCAATATCCTAGCTTTATCATCTAAAGTCCCTCATCCAAGGAAAATTTTCAGTCCCAGAAAGCTTGTTTTCACTAAGAAGAGAAGTCTCTGTGGCACTGAAGATTGAGAGTGATCAGATGGTGGACATATGGTAATACATGGTGTAGAAAGGGATGGAATACCGACAGTGGCAGCTACAGCTACTACTATGATTCCCTCAGCAAATGTGAGTCCAGTTGGACACCAGATTCCATTCTACACATACTCTGAACACTTCTGAGTGATTCTGGTTTGTCTATGACTCCTTGGGAAAATGACACATTATTTGCCTCCCATTTGTACACAGACTACTGGAGGGTAAAAGGAAAGTGAAACTGGGAAAGATGCACCTCATGTACAATAGCTAAATTTGCTTTAATCTTCCCCATCTAAAGTTCTTCACAGACCCTGGCAATTGGGAAATAATATAGAACCACAATACATGCATTTGATGGAAAAGAATAGCTAGTGCTTATTGAATGCTACTGTGCCTAGCACTTCTCAAATTCCATTATGTGAATTTAATACTACAACAGTCCTATGCAGTAGGCAATATAATGCTCTCCACTTAATGGTGGGAGAGAACGAAAAGTGGGTGGCCTCTCAAGATTACCAACGCATAAAAGCAGAAGAGCTGGAATTTTGAACCAGTTAGCCTGACATTAGAAGCCACTCTCTTAAGCTACTAAATTTGGTGCCTTATTGTGTCAATGGATAATTTGATGGATATATGGGTGGATGGATGGATGGATGTGTGGATGGATGGATAGATGGATGAATAGACTGCACTTATTCAGAGGCAGAGAGAAGAGAACATAATCAAAAGCTAGGATTCTGTACTACTTCACTATCTTGAAGGGTAGTAAATGGGATATTCACTTTTGAAATAGGTATCTTGGAAGTAGATGTTTCTGGCTATACTTCAAGAGATTCTGAAATGTATTAGGTCCAGTTTGAGACTGAGATAGTGTATGTTTAACAAATACATAGATATTTATTGGACATAATTGTATTAGGAAAAATAATTCCAACTCTGGCTCTGGAAAATTAAATAAGATGTAACTCCCTGGTACACAGATAAAACTGAAGGAAAGTTACAGAATACCCTTTCTTTCAGATGGATTTATATTTTATATGATTATACTCCTCTTCCTGACTTGGAAATAGCCTTGTGTCATCTTTACTTCACTTTCTTGACTTATACATAATCTGTTACATAAGAGTTTAACCTTGGAGATAACAACTGTTCCTTGGAACCAAGCATGATCTCAGAATCAAGTATGAGAAATGTAGAGAGAGAGAATGAAGAACTAGACAGAGAGCAGTCTCATTTTCTGAACATATTTAATTATGACACAGAGTATATATGCCATGCCTAGAGAATTTAGAGGGTATTGAAACTTCCTTTCTGCTACTTCTCTTGGCAGATGTGAACAGCAAGGAAATGAAAAGGGAAAACCAGACTTCTGTGCCTCACTTCATTTTGGTGGGTCTGCACCACCCACCACAGCTGGGTGTACCACTATTCCTAGCCTTCTTTGTCATCTACATCCTCACTGTCTCTGGAAATGGGCTCATCATCCTCACAGTCTTGGTGGATATCCAGCTCCACTGCCCCATGTACTGGTTCTTATGTCACCTTTCCTTCCTGGATATGACCATTTCCTCTGCCATTGTCCCCAAGATGCTCGCTGGCTTCCTCTGGGGTAGTAGAGTTATCTCCTTTGGGGGCTGTGTAATCCAATTGTTTTCTTTCCATTTTCTGGGCTGCACTGAATGCTTCCTTTACACACTCATGGCTTATGACCGTTTCCTGGCAATATGTAAGCCTTTACACTATGCCACCATCATGACCCGCAGTGCCTGTACCTACTTGGCTTTTGGCACCTGGTTTGGAGGCACACTCCACTCACTCTTCCAAACAAGTTTTATATTCCGGCTGCCATTCTGTGGCCCAAACCTGGTAGATTACATCTTCTGTGACATTCCTGCCATACTGCGCCTGGTCTGTGCTGACACCACCATCAATAAGCTGGTCACCTTTGTGGACATTGGCTTCCTGGCCCTCACCTGCTTTGTGCTCATCCTTACTTCTTATGGCTACATAGTAGCTGCCATCTTAAGAATTCGTTCCGCAGATGGGCGCTGCAATGCCTTCTCCACTTGTGCTTCTCACCTGACTGTTGTAATTGTTTACTATGTTCCCTGCACCTTTGTTTACCTGCGGCCTGGCTCACAGGATCCCCTAGATGGGGTGGTAGCTGTCTTCTACACTGTCATTACTCCCTTGCTTAACCCCCTCATCTATACACTCCGCAATAAAGAGATGAAGGCAGCACTGAGGAGGCTGGGAGGCTGCAAAGATGTGCAGCCTCACTGAATTCACCCATTGCAGACACAAAGTAGAAACTCAAATCCAAGGCACTAGATGAGACACCAAATAATTAAGCATATTTATAATACAAGGAGTAAATATTATTCATAAACAGAATAGGACTTCTAGGTGAAGAGGTGTAAACCCTGGAAAGTTTCACTTAGTAAACCCACTCTTAGAGGGATTTCCCATATTTCTTCTTTCAGTACCAATAAAAACTAACCAAAACATACAGTAAGGACAATATCTTGTAGAAAGGACCACAAAGAAAATCAAATTCACTGCCAATGAGTTGATTCCAAGTCATAGCAACCCCCTTTGGATTTCTGAGGTGGTGAATCTTTATGGAAATAGATTGCCCAGTTTCCCTTCCCCAGAGCAGCTGGTGGGTTTGAACCACCACCTTCTGGTTTGAACCCCCAACCTCTTGGTTAGCAGTCAAATGCCTTAGGCACTATACCACCAGAGCTCTTTAGGAAGGACTCAACATAAGTACAATATCGACATAAAAGTTCATTTCTCTGTGGTATCCATTTGCTTGTATACTGTAGCATCTAAAGCCCACATTGATGCCTGAATTATTCTTTCTTGTTAGTTGCTGTAAGTCAGTACCCAAATCATTGTAACCCCATGCACAATGGGATCAGACTGTTGTGGTTCACACTGTTTTCACTGGCTGATTTTTTTAAGTAGACAGTCAGACTTTTTCCTAATCTCTTAGTCTGGTTGCTCCACTGAAAGATGTTCATCATCATAGTACACACAGGCCCTGAATGACAGATTGGTGATGGCTTCATTTGAGGTACATTGGCCAGTAATTGAAACCAGGTTTCCCTCATGTAAGGCAAGAATTCTACCACTGAACCACCAATTCTCCCATGAACAAATAGGTCTTCACAGATGATAAATAACTCTCATGAAAACCATTTGATTTGACCTTGACAATAGTCATGTGAGGGTAAACCAAAAACCAAACTCACTGCCATCTAGTTGAAACTCACTCATAGCAACCCCTCCTTGGGTTTTCTGAGGTGGTATCACTATGGGAGTTATATTGGCAAACCTTCCTTCTGAGGCCTGGCTGGTGGGTTTGAACCACCAATCTTCTGGTTAGTAGTCAAATGCCTTAGGCACTACACCACCAGAGCTCCTTCATGTAAGGGTAGGTAATATTATTCCCCATATATCTGTGGGGAAATTGAGCTTCAAGGAAATAAATTAATTTTCCAAACTCTATACTGTCTCCCTTTTACTTTGACAACAATGACAAGAGATGAACTTGAATTTGAGGCTGCAATTTCACTACACTGTGAGGAAGCCATTGCAGGTGCATTGCACAATTATCTGAGTTGTACTACTCTGTAACACATGGAGTCGCCATGAATTAGGGGCCAACTTGATGGCAGATAGCAACAATAGCTAGCCATCTGAGATTTTGCAGAGTTCCGTTTGTTAAAACTGAGGTAAGTAAATTAAGAATAAAATTCTTGCTATCGAACCATAGTCTAGGATTCCCTGATGCTTAGATAGATGTTGCTGGAGCAGATCATAAGCAATGGTGGAAGAAAATGTGTTCAGTGACATTGGGGATAAGTGTGGGGGCATGTTGTGATAGAGTGGGAACCAACTTGAAGTTGGATCATGTACCTGGTTGCATGAAAAAGGTAAGCTGTGACCTGAGCCCCAAAAGGCCAGTCTTGTTGCCTATCTGCTGCGGCTATTGCCAGCTCTAAGTGGGAACACTGTCCCCTGGATTATAGGATCAGATATAACTTTAGTTGATGTCTCAAATGCACTTGGGCCAATACAGCCCTAGGAGAATCTCTTTATTTTTGAAACTCAGTACAAATTGTTAAGAAGGTGGGACAAATGGAAAACAGCTGATTTCTACTGAAAAGAAGATATTGGGGAAGAAATGTGTGTTGTCAGTGGCTTTTCTTGCAGCCCGGTGAAACAGCATAAATGTAAGTTTAAACAGCAACATATGTATGAATAGACTCCAATCCAACTCAACTTCATTCAACTCAACAAAAATTTGCTTACCACATGTAACTCCACAAAAAGGACATTGTTTTCTATTTTAAGGAGTTTATAATCTAAACTAAAAATCTAATCTGAAAAGAATTTATATATGAGGCAAAGAGATAAATATCTGGTCAGAAAATGAATAAGAAACAATTAATATAATCCCACTGTACAATAATTATTGTAATAATTTGGGAAAAGGAGAGAGAAATTTTCAGAGCTGGAATTTAAAAAGCTGGCTTCCTAGAAAATGAGGACTAATTTGTTGCTTGAAGGACATGTAAGATCTAGTCAGCCAGAGGACAGTCTTAGAGAGAATCTCCCTTGTGATGGGAACATAGAACCCTAGGGATAATCCTGGAAGAATGCTCCAGAGAAGCCTAATTAACTACATTGGGAGCAGAAGTCCTGGGGTGGGAACAATGGAGTTACAGACTTTATTTGACTAACACATACAAACTGAGGAGCCACCACACACAAACATTCTGTTGCACTAAGGGATTTCAGATAACAAGGTCCCCAGAACAGAACCCAGATTAAAGCAAACAATGAATTATCTCTTTTGTCATCAAGCACAAAAATAAAGTCACATAACAAAAATCTTATTTTGTTGTTTTTCTTTTTAAAGAGAAATATAAAATGTATAGTTTATCATTTTCAATTATAAAATGACAACATAAATACAACAACCAGCAAACTTCACACTTTTAACCAGCATCAGAGCTGATATTTGAACTCAAATAGAAGTCCAGAATTTGAGCTCTTAGCTAGAAAGTGTAATAATGTTTTTTATTCAACCACAGTGCTCATGAGGGTTTTTGTGCCTTTTTCAATTTTTTTCTGAGATTCTCTAAACTTGGGAAAGTAGAAGATTAAAGTGGTGTTACCCTATAATTAATTCTGTAATCTTGAAAACAGAAGCTAAGATCATATCACAAAGTTTAAGTACTAAGCATACCTTTGCTCAGAGTGTTTCTTTCTACCTCTTTGACATCATTTTTTAAAATTCAAATAGAAGAATTCAGAAGAAATTCACATTTTAAAACTTAATTCATTGATACAATTAGAATTTTATATTAAATAAAGGAGAAAATTTGAGAATTTTATTGTCTTTTTCCCCAAAATTGCTACCCAATAGTCACATTACTATTTATTAAATACACCTTTCATACATATCTGATAATCTAAATTCCAATATGTACTTCGTCTCTTTTCATAATTCCTTTAGATTCCATTCACATACTTCTTTTTTATCCTAAAATTTTAAAATATTTTTAAATTTAATAGGGCTACTTTTCCACTTAAAAAATTATGATTTGGGTTAAAGTTTACAGAACAAATTCATTTTCTATAAAGCAACTCATACACATTTTATTTCATGACATTAACTGCAATTCCCCACATTATAATATCTCTCTTCTGATTTCTTCCCTGTAGTTACCTCTTCCTTGAGTTCTATCCTCCCACACACTCCTCCCCCACTAGCTATCTCCCTGTGCAAACACTGCCCTTCTGTTCTCCCAGAATTGAGCACTGTCAGGAGTATATCTACCTGATGTGAATGTTCACCCTATTTTCCTCTCTATTGTTTGGCTGAAAGCCACAAGAGTGAGCTCAGTCCCAGACCATTATTTTCTGTGCATTTTCAAATTATTTCTCACATTTTTCTCAGCTATTTATGTAGGTTAACTTCAGATTGTTTTGTCAAGGAGTAAATAAACAACAAGCACTTTTATTATCTCAAGTGAGATCATGTTGAATTTATAAATTATTTTAAAAATAATCATCTTGATTATATCATTTTTCTTCCTAGAACAAAATACACCTATTCCTTTGCTAAAGATACAGCTATCTCTTGTACATGCCTCACTAAAGTTTTCTACTATTGGTTAATATGTTCTTTCTTATCATGATTTGTTAGCTATTAGTTCTAAATTAATTTTGTTTACATCTGCTCAGATCACTTATGTGATAATTTAAAATGTTAATGCTCATCAAGAATTCTGATGATCTGCATTTCTATATTTCTGGTGGGCACTTCATTTTAGTCCTCTGCTACTTAATCTCTCTAGGTTTTTTTTTTTTTTTTTTTTTTTAATCTGTGAAATAAAAGTCAAGAAGATTATCTCTAAATAACCCTACATTTTCCAATTCAAAAATTCTATTGTCATACCACCCCTATGGCATAATTTCTATGAAAATCCACGTGAAATACTTCTAAAATGTTTATACGTAGAAATTACCTTGGGGGAAATGTAAGATAAGAGGGACTTCCTCGAAATCTCCAATATTTACAGTCACTAAACAGATTTTCTTACTGGTCAAGTAGATGGAAGAGTGAATAAAATTCATATTTTACCACTGTTCACATGGATGGTAAAATACTGTAAATGAAACTTGTTCAAAAATTTATTTTATGTTATTTACTTTCATTGATTATTTACGCTTTTTTTCATTTAGTTCGAAGGAATGGGGCTAGAATTAATTGATAGATCTGTAATCAACTGGTTGCCATCAAGTTGATTCTGACTCATAGCTATCCCATGAGTTTTCTTAGGAGCACTGTGTTACCTAAGTCTGTGGTGTTTCAGAAGTAGGTTTCCAGACTTTTCTTCTGGGGCTCTCTGTGTAGATTCGAACTGCCAACCATTCAGTTAATACCAAAATGCTTCACTGTCTGTGCTGCTACTCAAGGACATTTGATTAATGCTTACATATTCAGATTAGAGTGTATTTAAAGAATATTCTAACATATATGAACTGCCTAGTGGGATAGTGATTTCTAAATGACGTATTGATTTTCTCATACTGAAAATGTCATGAAGTCAATATCTTGGGTGGCTGGTAGAAAAACACTTAAGAGTTCATGCTATGCCACATGTGGTGTAGGGTTAATGCTTTCTATTAATGGAGCCCACCACTCGTATTTGTCGTATTGCGGTGGCTTGTATTTTGCTCTGATGTTAGAAAATATGCCACTGGTATTTAAAATAGCTGCAGAGTCACCATGGTGGACAGATTTTAGGAGAGCTTCTAAGATAGACTAAGAAGAAGGGTGTTGCCAGTTCCACTTCTAAAATAATTGGCCACTTCAAATCTAATGAATAGCAGGGAAATAGTGTCTGATATAGTTCCTGAAGATGAACACCTCAGGTTGGAAGGCATTCAAGCTACAATCAGGAATGAGTTGTGTAGTAGTTTGGTTTGTGTGTCAACTTGGCTGGGCCTGGTTGAGTGGCTGGCCAGCTGGTGGTAGTTAATCCCCATGAGGAGACTGGCAATCAACTCCATGGTGGGATCTACCACAAGCAGCTAGGTAGCTGCCTCTGGGTATGTAGTCTGCTTCATATATATAAGGAGAAGCCTTTGGGAATGGTCTCTAGCCTTTGGCATGCTTGGACCCTGTATGTAGCCACGTCATTGTTCAGCAACCTGCTATGCTCTGCTGACCTTGGGACTTACAATGGACTTAAGTTAATGGCCTGCCATGTGGTTTGGTAACATTGGGACTGTGCCTTTTTCCTTGTCAACCTTGGGGCTTCTCAGCCTCAGCAGTCAACAGCTCTATGAGTGAAGAAACACCTCTAGCTCCAGTGGGCTGGGAGAAGGAGGCAGAGCTGGACCCCAAGGTTGAGGGGCTTTCACCCAGCTCCTAGAGCTTGACACTTTGATCTTGGGCTTAAAGCCTCCAAATTGTAAGAATAAACTCATGTTTGTTAAGGCCATCCCATTCGTGGTATATTTCTCATCAGACTGGCACTAGGTGCTTCCTCAAAGTAAAGTTGACCTTAATGACGTAGATGGAGTAAACCTTTCATTAATAATCACAACAAGGAATGTACAAAGTATGAATCTAGGAAAATTGGAAGTGGTCAAAAATGAAATGGAGCACATAAAGATTGATATCATAGGCATTAATGAGCTGCAATGGACTGGTATTGGCCATTTTTATTTGGACAATCATATGGTCAACTAGGCAGAAAATGAGAAAATGAAAAGGAATGACATCACATTCTTCATCAAAAAGAACATTTCAAGATTTATCCTGAAGTATAACGCTATCAGTGGTAGGGAAATAAACATATGCTTTCAAGGAAGACCAGTTAATATGACTATCATTCAAATTTACACACCATGAATAAACTGAAAATTTTTACCAACATCTGCAGTCTGAAATTGACCAAACATGTAATCAAGATGTATTGATACTTACTATATATAGATTGGAATGTGAAAGGTGAAAGCCAAGAATCATAAGCAGTTGGAAAATTTGGCCTTGGTGAGAAAAGGACACTGGAGATT